ATAACTTGAACAAATATAAATAAAGGGCTGGGAATTTGCAAGAAAAGATGCTGAATGTTGCATGTATTTGTTCAAAGTAAAAAAAAAAAAGCTGATCAAGCAAGGGTTGTAGGGGAACCTGAGGGCACACAAATGATGTGTTAATCTGGCAGCCACAAAGCTACTTCCTTCCTAATCCATGCACATTTTAAGAGACAGAGGGCCTAGATCCAAACCTCACTGAGGTCAATGAGAGATCATACCTGTAGCTCAGAGCCTAATTACCATGAAGAAAAGATCTCTCCAGACATACACATTCTCTACCATGTTACATACATTAGGCAGCAGGGGTGTTGAGATTAACTGTTACTCTGTAGTGGATGATGCTGCCCTTCACTGAACCTTACTTGTGCCTATCTTTACCCTCCTACATCTGCCATAACCACCTTGAACATCTGACTGAGCAGCATGAAAGTACTTGCAGAATTAAGGCCAAAATGTGCTTAAAACAGTATCTGTAAATCCAGCACAATTTGGCAAATGTAAGAGATAGTTGCCTTTCACAGGGGCTGTGGAGGAGGCCTTGGTAAATTTGAACGGTGTGATTAGCATGCCGGCTGTCACAAAAACTGCTAAAGGAGAAGCTGTGTTAAAATCCATTTCCGCAAGATACACACATTTTCTTTTGGATGTATTCCACCAGCCCTGTTTCTTAAATCATTTTTTCTGGCAGACAGATTCCATTCTGGAAAAATGCATGACACCAGCTCAGTTTCCTGCCTGAAAACTCAACAGAACGCACAGCAAGACATAATGGTGTATGTCCTCTGTGGTTTCCTAAAAGTCACACCACAAGAATGTGAGAAGTGAATTTGAACATTTGGGGACACAACTGTCGAAAGGCAAGTGTGATACAGAAGATGGCAGTTTAGTCTGAACACTCCAATGTTCAAACAGTGGTGGGGGTCACTGATAAAAGGCTTGCCAACATAGGGGTTGCCAACATCTTAGAGGGGTTTCAGTGATGTCTTCATGTCTTACTAGATTTAAAGGATGAACCTTGGCAAACTCCCCCTGATGTTTCTCAGCACATCTCCAGCCAGCAGTTGTTCCATCTGCTACTGAGGCCGACTTTGAAGAATCCTTGCAAAGAGCAGTACAGGAACTTTATATTTTTCTAGTCAAAGGGGGGAAAAATCATGTGCTTTCAAAAGTGACCCAGATGTTTGCCACGACCCTGAAAAACTGTCACGCGGTGAGGCTGCCTCTTTTTCTGTGAACACCAGAGCATGTTTCCAAAGCTGTGCCAGTGTAAACTGTGGGCTGCAAGAGGAGATTCAGTAAACAAAACCTCCTGAAAGGTTGTCTGAGGCACTAACTATTCATGTATGGAGACTTTACATATTGCATCTTAACAAGGTTACTGCCACCTTTATGAACCAGGTTTCGTCTGGAAAAATTGGACTGTGAAACCCGGATAGGTCTTCATTAGTAACAGCTGAAAGAATGAGGTAAGACAAAGCAAACAGTGTTGTTGTAAGGGTTGGTGCAAACAAGCTTTGTAAAACCCAAGGAAGACTCATGTAGATACAAGGTGTACCACCATGTATTCCATACATGGCTTAAACATATAGAATTCAGTTTCATGTACTATCACACATTCACCATCATCTTCCTAGCTTAGCCCCTATCCAATTTTAGAAGGTTCAGTCTAATTAGTGTAGGCTCTATAAAGATTAGTTATCATTTAGTATTATGTGTGTGTGTGTGTGTGTGTCTAAGTGCCCATCCACCTGTGAGCCTGTTAGCTCAAGAACTCCTCCTAAACAGTAAGAGCTAACACCACCCAACTTGATATGCAGCTTCCTCTTATCCTAACTTAAAACAAGATCAGGGTTAGGCTGTTCCAGGACAATGGGTTGTGCCTGGAATGCAATTTGAACCTTTCTCATCAAATGGAAAGTGAAGGAGTGATAAAAGATCTGAGGACAGACAAAGTGATATGTCTGTCATACGCCATTACCATTAGAACAGAATCTTGTTCTTTTATT